TCCAGATAACCATTATTCACTGTTGTGAATAACAAGAGACCTATCGGATTTCATTGCATCAGCGCCACCTAGACAGATTGAATACTACTCACTGGAGATGCATATAAGGTTTTTGAAAAAATACCATGGTTTGGCTCACCTTAGCCCTCAAACTGACATCTTTGTTCTTGAGTACTTTAAAGAGGTGTTGTGCAGCAGATTCACCTAATACAGCACATCATTTGCTTTATTGATTGTTTCTTCCATAAGTGTTGGTGGTTGATGTGAGCAAAATGAAGTCTTGGATAACTTCAATCTTTTCTTCATTTATCTTGATGCTATTTATTGGTCTAGTTGTGAGGATTTTTGTTTTCTTTACTTGAGGTGCAGCCCATACTGAAGGCTGTAGTCTTTGATCTTCATCAGCAAGTATTTTAAGTCCTCTTCATTGTATCATCTGCATATTGCAGGTTGTTAATGAGTCTTCCTCCAACCTTGGTGCCACATTTCTTTTCATATAATTCAGCTCCTTGAATTATTTCCTCAGCATACAGATTGAATAAATATAGTGAAAAAAAATACAACTTTGGTGCACTCTTTTCTTAATTTAAAACCATTCAGTGTCCCCTTTCTTTTCGAATGACTGCCTCTTGATCTATGTACAGGATCCTTATAAGCACAATTAAGTGTTCTGGAACAATTTTCTCCATATGCTGTCCATAGCTTGTCATGATTCACATAATTAAAAGTCTTTACAGAGTCAATAAAGCATAGATAAGCATCTTTGTGGTATTCTCTGCTTTCAGCTAAGATCCATCTTACATCAGCAATGATATCCTTTGTTCTATGTCCCCATATGAATCTGGCCTGAACCTCTGGCTACTCCCTGTCAACATACTCCTGCAGCTATTTTTGAGAAATATCTTTAGCAAAATTTTACTTGTATAATAATATAATAATAATGATACTGTGTGATGATTTCTGCATTCTGTTGGGTCATCTCTTCTTGGAATGGGTACAAAAATGGATCTCTTGTAATCAGTTGGCCAGGTAGCTGTCTTCCAATTTTCTTGTCATAGATAAGTGAGTTCCTCCAGTGCTACGTCATTTTGTTGAAAGATTTCAATTTGTATTCCACCAAATCCCGGAAACTTGTTCTTTGCCAATGCCTTTAGTGCACGTTGGACTTTTTCTTTCAGTATCATTGGCTCTTGACCATAGTCCACCAGTTGAAATGGTTGAACATCGATCATTTCTTTTTGGTGCAGTAACTCTATTTCTTTCATCTTCTGTTGATATTTTGCCCATGGAATCCTTCAATATTTCAAGTTGAGGCTTGGCTTTTTTCTTCGGTTCTTCCAGCTTGAGAAATGCTGAGCATGTTCTTCCCTTTTGGTTTTCTAACTTTGCACATTTCATTATAATATTTGACTTTGTCTTCTCGAGCTGCCCTGGGAAATTTCCTGTTACAGCTCTTTCATTTGCTCCCTCCCCCACTGCACCCCACCCCCACCCCCCAGTTTCCAAAGGCTTTATTGGTAAATGTGCTTTCAGAAAGGATCCTCAGTATCCCATCACTTCCAAATCTGTGGAATGAAGAACTGTGTCAAAGGCTGAGGGGTTACTGTTTTGTTCACTCTTATTCATAGATTCAGTCATGGCCACAAAACTTGTAATCAACCAAATCCCCTGGCTTAAATCAGAAACTGATTTCTTTTAGCACTTTTTACTGAATCACTGCCATGAATGATGTTCCTGCCAACCTGAATACAGAAATATCCACGAATGGTGCCTGGCTTAGAATCCACTGGGTTAGTCTCCCCAAGCATCACTCAACTTGTCTTCACCACGTTCAGCCCCTCCCAGACCATGGCCACAACCAGTCCTGAGTTCATGTACTTCACCAGTCTCAGGCAGTCCTTCAGGTCAATATAATGTTGCTTTGTGTGCTCCTCATAGGCCTTCATGAATTTCATAGCCACAAGGCGGAATCCCTTCTGCTCAAAGTGCTTGATGATGTCACCCACCAGGTCGTGCTGCATGCCTTCCATCTTGATGGCGATGAAGGTGCGTTCTGTGTTGGCCATGGTCCTGAGAACTGGCAGGGGAGCAGCGGATATGTGTGCTGCTGCCAGTGCAGAGACATGCAGCTACCACCAGAGCCCGCAGCAGTGCTCTATCCTGGAGAGCAAGTTTCAGAGTCTCTCCTGACATCCATTTTGATCTTTTCCTTCTTTCTTGTCTTTTTTTTTCTTTTTTTTTAATTTAAGGTTTTTATTGTGGATTGAGTGAAAGTTTACAGGGCACATCATCAGTTTCACATTCAACAATTCATATAACT